TTTTTAAATTGGCTTAAAATAAAAAAATATTTATATTAAATAATATGCTGCCAACTTGCAGAACTTTGAATTGTGGGAAAGTAGTAGCACTGGACCTGTTCCTTTTTTTTATTAAGTTGTTTTTCAAGAATGAAGGTTTTAATTTACACTAAATACAAATAAGTGTCAGAAATACAGTTGTATCAAAGAAAATTGTGTTTGAAGCTTATGAAAATTATTAGTCGTAAATTAAGCATTTGAAGTTTAATTTCCCGAATTTTATAGTGTAAAATGGAAGCTCTCAGTAACATCCATCTATTCATAATATCTTACTATAAGTATGAAATGATTTTCAGTTTGTAAAATATCATTATGCTCACTGAAATAAAAATGGCTTTTTTAGTGCTACATGAGTACTGTTTCATCTTTTTAAGAAAGCTTGCAAGCTTTATAGCAGTTGAATATTTGTAAACCCTTTAACTTACATAAGGCTTTTGCACCTCAGTGGCTCAGAGGTAAGTCTGATGGCTCGTACTACTAAAAACCAGGTTTCGATACTCGTAATCGGCACTGTTCAGTTAGTGCATAGTGTATCTTTGTGCTTTGAGAATAAATAAACATTAGGCTTTTAACAATGCATCATTTCTAGACACTTTCAGTAATCCTGAAAATTTATAACAAAAACATTAAGTAAAAATTAATCTTCATTATACTTGTACACAGAGGAAAGTTGAAGATTTTGTCCATTTCAAAATAAACTTGTGTGTAACTAAAGGTTAGAATATCCTGTATCATACATATTCTCGTAGTGTAAAAAAATTAGACTTGTATAGTTATAGTGCAGCTGTTTATGGTGTTTGATATTTTCTACGTAGTCTACATTTTTCTGGTGAAACATTAGCATTTTTTGGCTTTAAACAGTTGCATGCAATGGCTTTTGTTGACAATTGTAATTGGAAGCTGTATTGCTACTTGCAGATTTTGTAATCCGGATTCTTTACAGTAGGTGTCTTTGGCTTGTTGATGATAAATTTCAACAATAAACAAACAGCAACAAAATCCACTTGTTTTAATATAATATTTAAAACAATTTTGTTACAGTGTTGGTTATCACAGTTGTATCCAGAGCTTTAAATAATCATCTCTTTTTTTTTTCGTCAAAGTCCACTCAGTCTGGTTCAATCACTTAAGACCACAATTGACAAGACAAATTCTTCTTCTCTGCTCTGTGATAATTTCACTTGAAAATCTGCCATTATATTTTCTTTATTGCTAAATTCACAATCACAATTTGTGGATTTTATGTGAGCAGCCATGCAATTTAAGCTATATTTCATGCAAAATTGCTTCCAGATTTAATCTCGTAGCACTTATATTTTACAAATGTTCTTGGGGGGGGGGGGGCATGCCTCGTGAATTACAGCTTAAACAATTGCATGGCTGCTCACATATAATCCACAAATTGTGTTTGTGAATTTAGCAATAAAGAACGTATAGTGGCAATGAATTTTAATAACAGAGCAGAGAATAATAATTTGTCTTGTCAGTTGTGTTCTCAAGTAATTGAACCAGACTATGTGGACTTTGACGTAAAACAGCCGATTATTTAAAGCTCTGGATACAACTGTGATAACCAACAAAATTGTTTTATATATTAAAACAAGTGGACTTTGTTGCTGTTTGTTTATTGTTGTATGCAATAAAGTCCAGCACTAAGATGATCAGACTTGCTGTCCACTCTTGCCTGAACAGCTCTCCAAGTTTCTTCAGGTGGCCTTTCCATCTTGCTGTGTGGCTCATACATAAAAACCTTACGAAAGTCAATACATGCTGTGCAAAATATAATCAGCATGTAAAACATGTAAATGCTACGGAGGTCTGCAAAATTGCTTCCAGATTTAATCAGACCTCTGTAGCATTTACATGCTGATTATACTTTGCACAGTATGTGTTAATTTTCGTCAGTTTTTGTGTTGTGAGCCGGATTCTTTACAGTAGGTATCTGTGACTTGCTGGCAATAAATTTCAACAATAAACAAGCTTTCCACTTCTAAAATGATATACAAAAACGAGTCAAACGTATATACAAATGTTCATTACACTGTTGTATCCAGACCTTTAAATAATCGTCTCTTTTTTCGTCAAAGTTCACAAGGCTGGTTCAGTTTCTTTAGAATACAATTGTCAAGATGAATTATGTCTCTCTGTTCTGTTATTACAATACAATCAGTGATAATTTCACTTTAAAAATCGACCCTTTACACTCTTTATGTCTAAACTCACAATCATGCAGTCTAGATCTAGCTATCTACCAAACTTTGTCTAACTACATTTTGAATGCATATTTATAGTCTGACAGAGGCCTATAATGTTCTACACGCTATGAGATATTATGGTGCAATAATCTCAATCAAAACAATAAGAAAAATGTAGAAGGCTCTAGTAACGATACAATAATACAGCAATCGACAATTCACAACAATTGAACTACACAACGTATGATTCATACATAAACCTGTGATAAATATTTATAATTTTCTTTTATGCTTTTTACAAAGACTGTTTTCTGCTCATCAACAAAGTCTACTCATACAGTCTGCACCAACATTTGCAGTCCCCTTGATGGCTTTAATGCAGAACTGGTAGCTCTGGAGGCACAATGCATACCTTACGATCCTCACACTATCGATATTGCACCTCTGGATGTATGCAAGAGGCTGATGGTCCATCTGAATGATAAACTCCTTCCTGTAGAGGTAGTTCTGGAATTTCTAGATGACCAGACACTTGTTCGATCACAGAGTGATTCTCACTCTTTAACAGCTTTTTAATGATATACATTATGGGAAATGGTCCATCTTCGTGTTCTTGCAGAAGTACTGCTCTTGTATATGAGTTAACTTCTCCTCTTCCATGGCTATTTTTCAATCACCCACCTTGTGTAAAGCAAAGTCCAGCACTTAGATGATCTGATGGTCAGACTTGCTGCCCTTACTTGCCTGAAGAGCTCCCTGAGTTTCTTTGGGTGGTCTGGGAATCTGACTGTGTGGGTCAGAATGTTATCCACATAATGCTCGATGTTGGTGTTTTTGTGCAACATCTTCCTCATCATACAGTTGAATGTTACTGCTGAGTTGACTAACACAAGTGGAATCCTCTTGAACTGGTAGCATCTGTCTGGTGTCACAAAGGCTGTCTTCTCTTTAGATTCTTTCTCCATTTGGATCTGCCAATAACATTTTCTGAGGTCGATCTTGGAAAAGGACTTGGCCCTTTTTGGTTTTGCCATAATAACCTCAGGGTTGCCCATATAATTGGAGTCAAACTTCATCACGAGGTTTAGCTTTTGGAGATCTGTGACCCACCCCTCTTCTTCCCGATAACCACTAGTGAACAGTAGGCTGAATTTGAGGGTTCAATGAATCTGGCTTCTAAAATTACCTCAACTTTTTGCTTGATCAGGTCTGCCATTGCATAGGGCATCTGGTATGATTTCACCTTGATGGGATCCCAGGTCGTGATCTCGATCTTGTGTTGCACAAGGTCTGTCTTGCCTTGTCTATCTGTGAAAACATCTGTGTACTGGCCCAGTGGATCTTGTAGCTCTTTCTTCTGCTTGCTAGTCAGTTCATCACTGATGTTGGAGTCTTTGTATGTCGTATCTCCACCCAGTGGTATTAGATCTAGTAGGTCTTCATCTTGTATGACAAAGTCACCATCTTCTGGATCTATTTCTATGACAGCCACACCTGTAGTGTTCATCTGTGTCTAAAAAGCTGCACCCATTAGGTCTTTTCCTCTCAAAATACCTCTTCAACAGATTGGCATAATATATCTTGGATTTCCTGTCCACTTTCACTTTATGGTCCTCTCAGTTCACATGGTTTAACTGATTTACACATTCAAATTATCATGCTACAAGCCTCCACCAATAGACGTGCCTCACACACACTTGACTCTCTATGCTATTCTATCTAACTATCGCTTCTCATTTGGCAGTACTTGGGTTAAGACGTTTTCTCTAGTGCTCTTTCGAATC